TTGACTCGATGGCAACGGGTTTGGTTTTTTTTTTTTTTTTTTGGTTTTGCAGTTATACAGGGCCATGTGAGTAGCTCTCGGCAATGAATGGAGGAAGCATTTAAGAGCTGGTTTGGGACCCTCAATCACTCTAATCTCCTGCCTCAGCAATTATAAATCCATAATTGAAGTCAATGTGTGAGTGACTATGTGGAGAAAAGCCCCTACATGTCAGACATGTGTGAGACAGAAATAAACTTTAGGGTGAATTTGTTACCTCAGTATAAAGTGGGGCCTGAATCGACTCAATGGCAGTGGGCAACGGGTTTTTTAGTTTATCCCGACTAATTCAGAATTCCATCATATGATGGTGGAGGGAAAAAATGATTTGTCAAGTCGTCAGCAAATTATATCATGGTTATTTTTAGCCTCTATATAAACCAAAGGACGCTGGTGGTGCAGTAGTTAAGCGCTCGGCTGCTAACCAAAAGGTCAAGGTCAGTCGTTCCAACCCACCAGCTGCTCTGCAGGAGAAAGATGTGGCAGTCGGCTTCCGTAAAGATTACAGCCTTAGAAACGCTATGGGCAGTTCTCTTCTGTCCTATAGGGTTACTATGAGTCGGAATCGACTCAACAGCAATGGGTTATATAAACCAAAGTTTAAATGAACTTCCTGTTCATTTTATAAACTGAGAAAAAATCCCTGAACAGTTAGTTGAGTGAATAATGCAGGATAATGTCCATTCTTTCAAAGATGCCTCATTTCTCTACCTTTTTTTTCCCCTGATACTTAAAGTTTATAAATACATTGTTTTTATATGTACTTCTTGGATCATTTTCAAAATTAATATTGGTGCTTCATCCTAAATTACTCCTAAAACAATAATCCTCTCCTGTTATATCAGCTTATTTTTTGGATGTATGATTCACTTGAAAATTTGATCATAACAGACATATCTTGTTCATTCATCTGACAAATTTTAATTGAGTCCAAGTATGTTCCAAGCATTTTGCCAAGAGCCAAGGAAATAATTAAACAGAGCCAGCACGTACCTTATAATTTATAGTTTTGATACCACCTGGAGACAGACTTACCTGGGACCAAACTCAGTTCGGAAATCTTGAGAGATGGGAAATTAGTTAACCTCTATGTACCTCATTGTCTTCATCTGTAAAATGGAAATAATAACTCCTACCTTGTAGGGTTATTGTGAGTATTAAATGAGACATGGTGGAAGGCTATTTTAGTTAGGCTTTAGAAATGTGTTCAGATCACCTTAAGAAAATAGGGGTTTTATAGCAAAAACTAGAATCTACAAGGTATCTGGTACTGTGGGAGCTAGAGGAACTAGGAACCAGGTATGCTTTCTTTGCTCACTTGTGGAGTCTGCTTCTCTCTGTGTGTCTAGTTGGCTTTTCCATTACCTTTGCTTGTTTTTATCCTCTATTCTGTATATCTTTTCTGAAGCTTGTATTGCTTATGGTTTCTGTTTCTTCATAGCTTCAGTCTAAATGATCCCTCATAGCCCTAGCTGAGAGGAGTCCTGGTGGTGCAGTGGTTAAGCACTCGGCTGCTAACCAAAAGGTCGGTCGTTCAAACCCACCAGCTGCTCTGTGGGAGAAAGATGTGGCAGTCTGCTTCCATAAAGATTACAGCCTTGGAAACCCCATGGGCAATTCTACCCTGCTATGAGTTGGAATCGACTCGACAGCAGTGGGTTTAATTTTTTTTTTTTTTTGGTAGCCCTAACTATATCTAGTAGTTTCTCTCTATGCTTTTCTTCTGCTTTAGCCTTCACAGAAAACTACCTAATTCATTTAATTTTTCTAGTTCAAACTTCCAGGAGAATCTATTGGACTGATTGGTTCATTCAGGCATTCAGAACATATCTCTGAAGGATCTAATATGTGCAGGCATAATCTAGGCCCCACCCTCAGGGCCTCCAGCCTCATTCTGAAAATGCTTCCTGTTTGATTGGAGCTTGCTAGAAATTCAGAATTTGGACCCCAATCCAAAGCTACTAAATCAGAACCTGCATTTCAACAAGATCCCCCAAGTGATTTGTGAGCACAGTAAAGTTTCAAGAAGATAAGGTACTTAGGAATAAATCTAACCAGGGACATAAAAGACCTATACAGAGAAAACTACAAAATACTATTGTAAGAAACCAAAAGAGACCTACAGAAGTGAAAGAACATACCATGCTCCTGGATAGGAAGACTCAACATTGAGAAAATCTTAATACTACCCAAAGCAATCTACAGATACAATGCAATCCTGGTCCAAATTCCAACAGCATTCTTCAATGAGATGGAGAAACAAATCACCAACTTTATATAAAGGGAAGAGGCCCCGGATAAGCAAAGCATTATTGAAGAAGAAGAACAAAATGGGAGACCTCACGCTGCCTGATCTTAGAACCTATCATACAGCTATGGTAGTCAAAACAAACTGGTACTTGTGCAACAACAGACACATAGACCAATGGAACAGAACCAAGAACCCAGACGTAAATCCATCCATCTATGAGCAGCTGATATTTGACAAAGGGCCAAAGTTTAAATGGGGAAAAGACAGTCTCTTTAACAAATGGTGCTGGCATAACTGGATGTCCATCTGTTAAAAAAAAGAAACAAGATCCATATCTCACACCATACACAAAAACTAACTCAAAATGGATCAAAGACCTAAATATAAAACCTTAAACGATAAAGATTATGGAAGAAAAAATTGGGACAATGCTATGGGCCCTAATACACGGCATAAATAATATACAAATCATAACTAACAATGCACAAATGCCAGAAGAGAAACTAGATAACTGGGGCTCCTAAATATTAAACAATTATGCTCATCAAAAGACTTCACCAAAAGAGTAAAAAGAGAACCTACAGACTGAGAAAAAATGTTTGGCTACAACGTATCTGACAAGGGTCTAATCTCTACAATCTACAAAATACTTCAACACTTCAACAACAAAAAGACAATCCAATTAAAAATTGGGCAAAGGATTCATATTGTATCATTCAGACACTTAACGAAAGAAGACATTCAGGCAACTAACAGACACATGAGGAAATACTCACGATCTTCAGCCATTAGAGAAATGCAAATAAAAACTACCCTCTCACTCCAACAATTCTGGCACTAATCAAAAAAAGAGAAAGTAACAAATGTTGGAGAGGTTGCAGGGAGATTGGAACTCTTATGCACCACTGGTGGGAATGTAAAATGTTGCAATCACTTTGGAAAACGGTAGGCGCTTCCTCAAGAAGCTAGAAATAGAAATAACATATGATCCAGCAATCGTATTCCTAGGAATATATCCTAGAGAAATAAGAGCTGTCACACGAATAGACATACGCACTATTCATAATAGCAAAAAGATGGAAACAACCTAAGTGCCCATTAACAGATGAATGGATAAACAAACTACGGTACATACGCACAATGGAATACTATGCAAGGATAAAGAACAAGGATGAATCTGATAAATATCTCACAATATGCATGAATCTGACGGGCATTTTGCTGAGTGAAGGAAGTCAATCACAAAAGGGCAAATATTGTATGAGACCACTATTATATGAACTCAAGAAAAGGTTTACACACAGACAAAAACATTCTTTGATGGTTATGAGGGTGGGGAGGGAAAACGAGGGGAAATCACTAATTAGATAGTAGACAAATGTCAGCTTTGGTGAAGGGAAGGACAATACAGAGAAAGAAAGAAAAAATAAAAAAATCCCTTAAGTGATTTGTGTGCACATTAAAGTTTAAAAAGCATTGCTTTAAACTTCTAGCTCTCAAAACTGGCTGCACATTAGAAACAATAGAGGATTAAAAAAAAAAAAAAAAAAAAAGATGCCTGTTTTCCTCCCCTAAACCTGTTGCCATTGAGTAGATTCTGACTCATAGCGGCCCTATAGGACAGAGTAGAACTGCCTCATAAGGTTTCCAAGGCTGTAATCTTTACAGAAACAGATTACCACATCTTTCTCCTGCTGCGGAGTGGCTGGTGGGTTCCAACAGCTAACCTATTGATTAACAGCCCAGTGCTTAACCACTGTGCCACCAGGGCTTCCTCCCCCAGAGGTTCAGATTTAATTTTTCTAGTATACTGCCTGGCATTCACAAGGTCTCTTGACAATTCTAATGTGGAGGTAGGTTTGGGAACCTTTGAACTAGTCCTGTGTCACCATATAGCAGCTGTGTGAGCCTAGACAAATTGCTTAGTTTCTCTCTTGGCCAGGTTTCTTACCTACTAAGTGCAGATAATATAAACCACCTTGCCTTCCTCAGAGTTGTTCTGAGGGCCAAATGTGATACACATGTGAAATTATTTTAGAATTTGTGTCTCTAACTTATCAAAGCCCATCTTCTCATATATTAATGGGGATTCAAAAAAAGAATTATTATCAAATATGATAATTTAGATAAAAATGCATGGTAGATATTATTATGGTTAGGTACTGTTATTCCATTTTACCCATCACATAACTGAAGGTTAGGTTAACTAACTATCAAGGCCATGAAAACTACTAAATGGTGGAGTTAGGGACTGAATCTCAGTTGGTCTAAGCCCACTGATTTAGGAAATAATATTGGAGTTATTATTCCCTGTCCTTGAGCATAGAGAATGTCACCCAGCTGGAGCTGGGCTCACAAGGACTCACAAGGACACATCAACTGGGTCCTGAGGTATAAAGACAAGCTAAGATAAGCTTGGAAAACATCTTTCAGGGAAACTTTCACATAAAGCCAATCAAACAACACAAAAGACTTTCCACTCTTATCTTTTTCTATTAGCATTTAGTGAATAGAAATTTGTTGGACCAATGAAGACCCTCCTGACTGTCATTACTGAAACCTGTACCAATGATTTTTAAGGACAATTCAAAATGTAGGATCACAGTTTCTAGCCAATCTGTAAAAGGTGAAGCTTTCAATGGTTTTGCCCATTTGTAATGTTAATATATACTGATGACCCTGTAATAGTTTTTGGACTCGGGCAGATGTGGCTGTGGAAGCATGCTTGTCCGTTTTCCCACTCTTGCCTATTCTGTAATATTCTTTGGACTCGGGCAGACATGGCTGTAGCAGCATGCTTGTCCGTCTTCCCACTTTTGTCTGTTCTGGGATATTTCCTTGGTTCTGGTTCTGGTTGGATATGGTTCTGGCAGCATGTTTGTCTGCTTCCCACTTCTGCCCTTTTCAATATATGCCGAATAAAACTTTCTTTTTGCTTTACTCAACTTTGTGATGTTCTTCCCCTACACCACCACGAACCTGACCTTGCGGACCCCACAGCCTCAATATTAGCGAGCAATTCCTGAACCTCATCGGACTTAATTTGTCTGGTGTACACCTGTGAAGTATTCCTCACTCTTACCAGCTATAAGTGACTACTGGCTGCATTTGAGTCTAAAGTCCGATCAACCACAAATCTGAGAGTTAGCCTCCTTATCTACACTTAACCTCCGGGTTCCAAGCTTACCGGGGCAGGAACCCTTCCTACTGCAGACTCCCAGGGCGGGCTTCGCACGCACCTGCTACGCGCCAATCACAGGCCCGCGCGCAGGGGCGCAAGCGCCACAGCCCTGGGCGGGGCCTCATCTTCTACCAGTCCCCGTTAGTCCTCCGGCCTTCCACTGCCCTGATTGGCCTTCCGCTGATAACGTCAGAGGCCGCCTCCGGCCAAGGTGGCGAAACCGGCCGGCAGGTCGGGGTTGGCGGAAGTCGTGTAGGCAAGTGATCCCGCAGTGCAGAGGGACCGGGAGGTGCGGCGCGCTTGTGCGGGAATCGGAGGCCGAGCTGTAACTATTCTCCTTGCAGGCTCCGGGAAGATGACCCGCTTCGCTCTGACCGTTGTCCGACAGTGAGTATTGCTATCTTACGCTGTCCTTCTCTCTTTCTCCTAATCGAGTGTGTTTTGGGGTGGGCGAAGGGAACATTAAATTGCCATCCCTTTTCTTCCCCGGTTGCTCAGCCCTGGGAGGGTTAACTCAGACCGAGCTATTTTCTAGGCGTTTTCGCAAGTGTTACCTCATTTCGGCCCCTCCCCCAAAATGCCCGGAGAGAGAAAGGCGATTCTTAAATATCACTATCAGTCCGATGTTACGGTTGAGAGTGAGGTCTAGAGGAGTAAATGATCAGGGCTCCCAGGCAGTTGGTGGTAGAGCTAAAACCGAATAAAGAAAACCACGTCCTCGGACTCCTTTCTGTGCACCGTTTTTGCTTCTCAGCAGATTCCAAGGAGTTTGTAGAATAGTTCGTCCATGACTGACATTTTGATGCTGGCTTTCTTCGCTTTTCCTTCTTTCTCAGCTGGTCCTCTCGCTTGCCAGGGTAATCAGTCCCACAAACTTATATGTGAGCTTTATTTCTTCCCTCCAGAGATTACGGTTCTGAGAGAGGAGATAGGGTCTCCGCCCCGCCCTCTCTTGCCAGCGGACCGCATTACCCCTAGCAAATATTTTTTATCATCACTACAGATTACATGCAGCTGAATGCTGAAATGTCTTTATTTATACCTCTTATACTTTCCTTCTCAACACTTATTTGCCGAGTGTTAATGGGAAGTGAAACTCATGGTAGTTAAGAGCACAGATACTTGAAGCAAGAGAAATCCCTCCTTCAGCTAGGCAGTCTGTGCCTGGGCCTCAGTTAACCGACTTAATCTCTAACCTCAGTTTCCTGATCCAGAAAACAGAGATAATGGTAGTACCCACCTCCCTGGGTTACTATGAGAATCAAATGAGAAAAGGTAAAATGTTTAGCACAATGGCGGGGAATAAATATATCTGAGGATTAAAAAACTTCTATATGGAGGTTCTGGGAGGCACAAACAGTTAAGCGTTTGACTACTGACGGACGCGTTGAAGGTTCAAATCCACCCAGAGATGCCTGGGAAGAAAGACCTGGTGATCTGCTTCTGAAAAATCAACCATTAACCAAAAGTATGGAGCCACGAGGAGCCCTGGTGGTACAGAGGTTAAGCGCTCGGCTGCTAACCGAAAGGTCTGCAGTTAGAACCCACCAGTCCCTCTGTAGGAGAAAGATGTGGCAGTCTGCTTCTATAAAGATTTACAGCCTTGAAAACCCTATGGGCACTTCTGCCCTGTGGGATAGGGTTGCCGTGAGTGGTAATAGAATCCACGGCAATGGGTTATGGAGCAGTGAGTCAGAATCAACTCTCTTTTTTTTTATTTCTGTAAGGACAGCTTTAATAAAAATGCAGTTCTCAAATATGCATGTATAGTTTTATCAGACCAGCGTTTCTGAGTAGGTGCTATGTGCCAGTAGACTGGGTTACACAGGTAAGTAAGATACAATTTCTACCTTCACAGAGCTCACAAGAAACACTAAATATGGTTTAACCATATCAAGCTGACTTTAACTGCTGTCTTTTCTGTCCTATTCTTCCTTTATAGGAGGGTATTCTTGGCGATCATCTCCACTTAGCTTTTGGGGATTTTAATGCTAAATTGGAAATTTTGTTCCTCCCTATCTCTTCTGTACCCCTACCCATTTTTAGAAAGCTTTGGGAGGTTTCTTGACGTATTTAAGGTCATACAGCTAATAATGGGGAGTAGAATAGGGGATGGGGTCCTGGTTCCTTTCTTCCAGTGTTAGAGACCTTTCTGGGTGTCTTGACCCAGCCAGCAGAGTGTCTGACTTTTGAGCGTCGGAAGTTGTAAGAAATCTAGGTTAAAGCACCCTGGGAAAATGAAGTAATCTCAGTTTAGATCCTTAATAGACAGTAGTTATATGGAGGGACAGATTACCCAATCAGCAAGGTAAGCACGTGCTTAGGGCATCAACAAAAGAGGCACCAGTTGTCCAAAGCAAAGACCCACAGATGCTAGACAGACAGGACACAAGGAAAAGTGAGCGCCGCAGTGGAAGGGAACTGGCAGGGCCCTGACTGAAATAGATACTAGCTCCAGTGTGTGAGAATGTGCTGGCCGGAAATAAAGTTCCCTGTCCGCAGGGTCACCACGGTGCCCACGACCCAAGTTGTTTAAGCTACGATCCCCTCCTGGGGACAAGGACAGATTATAGTAGTAGATAACAGGTCTCTGATCCATTTTGGGAACTAACTTCACAGACTCATTTTCTTTGTAGAATTTGTAGAATATTCTTTTTGTAGAAAATGTGCTATATAGTAAAAATCTTAGTTCCCTGCGTCCAGTAAAAATTTTATAATCCAATTCATGTCATTCTGCTAAAATGGCATGCACTACTTTTCTGTTCAATCGTTAATATTATAGTCGCATTTGAAAGAAGTTGCATCACGGATAGCTAAGATTCACACACACGTGTATATATATATCACTCATATATCCTGTTTGTGTGAGTAAGCAGGGGCGGGGGTGCATAGATTATCAGTGTTTAGGACCCTCACATGTCTTAATATGGCCCTGGTTATATGAATATGAGTTTTATCCCCTCCCTGCTTCTTAATAAGGTCAGGATTGTGGAGGTCCTCATAGGAATCAATTAAAAAAATAAGCCTTAATAAATTATTAATATGGGCCAGGCACTGTTCTAGTTAAATTCTGACAACAATCCAGTGAGATAAAGACTGATAACCTCAATTTGCAGGTGAGGAAACAGACACAGAGAGGTCATGTAACTGGCTTAAAGCCAAACAGCAAGTTGAGGAGGTAGGATTTGAATCAAAGCAACTTAAATCTAAAGTCCATGTTTGCAGCCACTATATTCTGTTTCTGTGAAAATGGCATGGTGGGGCATCTGACCTCCTCTAACTTCAGGAGGGGGAGGAGAGAGACTCACCATCAGCATCAGTCTAAGACAGAGTCCTATGAAGTGGAGCTTAGAGGTACCTCTTCTCTCCAACCTGACACCAGCCATCTCTCCCATGGCGCTGCTTCTCTCCTGGGTTCAATAATTCGTTGCACTGGCCCCACAGAACTCACAGACAGTACTCATGATTATAGAGTTTATTAGGGAAGTAACAGGTTACAATTCAGGAATGACTCAGGATACCGTTCTTTGATCAGGATAGCTTCTTCTCAGCCATGCATTGCAGGCAGGCCTCTCTCTGGTCCTCAGCCTGGCCTCTGCCCTGCTTGGAAAAGTGTTACAGAGCTCTGCCAGTTAGTGCCTGGGGGCACCCCACTGCACCAGTAAGCCTAGGTCCAAAGGTGCTCAGCTCTCTCGCTCCATGGGTTGGCGTGCCATTGTAGCCGTAGCCACCTTGCTCTGTGGGCTGGGAAGCCCGCTGTTCCGTCTCATGCCTGTCTCCTGGTTCTGCTGCCACTGTTTCTCTGCTGCTGCTTCTCTCCATCTTGTACCATCTCCCGTGTTACAGCTCTCTCTCTTTGTCTCCTGGGCCTAGGAGGTTCTCAGTGCAGGGATACCAGGTCCAAAGGGTGTGCTCAACTCCTGGCTCTTCTTTCTTGGTGATAGTGAGGTCCCCTCTGCCCTGGGATTGGCTCCCTTTTTAAGCCTAGCGGGATGGCAAAACTGACAATCCCCTCATTAGAGTTCCATATACCTTTTGCATGGTCCCACCTCCACAAGAGTGCCATTCACATTACTTGCATGTATCAGCAAACTGTTCTATCCCCTCAGTGGGCCACAAGCACCTTGTTTTCATAGTCTCTCTCAGTCATTTTGTAGGAGTCACAAGACCATGGCAAGAAAGGCCATCTAAAAGTAAATTCATCGCACTGCAGCCTCCTATTTTATTGTGTTAAAACCTAGTATTTGTAGACAACTGGAATATCCCCAACCATTTTAGGGGTTATTTTTTATTTCTTCTAATATAAATCTGAAGGAGTGATAAGGGTAGTTTGTTTTGTTCCATTTTTTATGTGAGAAAGTGAAGTGGAAGTGTTCAAATAATTGACTGGGCTATGCTTAGTTGCTTTTCCGCAACCTTCAGGGTTCTCAAGGCGATTCTTATCAGGTAAAGAAGCTATTTCAAATCTGATTGATAATCACCATAATTAAATATAATGACTTATAGGAAACAGCAAGATTGAATAACTTAGCATAATACTGGGAGTAGGCACTTGAGATTTCTGTTACCTAATTCTGTATAACTCTAAGATAGTCTGATACTTTGAAAAGGATGGCATGATCATTATTTTTAAGAGCTGAGTAATTGTATTGAACAATGCCTCTTCAGATAATGTGGGAAAACATTTTCAAAGCAATTTCTTTAAGTTTAGTCAAATCCTTTATGAACCTTGTGGTTACTGTATTCTGTCTTAATGCTGCTGTAACGGAAATACCACAGGTGGGTCACTTTAATGAACAGAAATGTATTTTCTCACAGTTAGGAGGCTAATAAGTTGGAATTCAGGACACTGGATCTAGTGGAAGGCTGTAGGGGAAGGTCCTTGTCTCTTTTCAGCTTCTGTTCCTCAGTTCATGTGGCATGGCATCTATCTTCCCCTATGTGTTTCCTTACTTCTGGGCCTAATCTGCTCTATTATATCTCAACAGTGATAAAACACAGCCTATACTCCGATATGGTCTCATTAACAAAGAAAAAACTATCCTCCAGTGGGATTATATCCACAGGTAAAGGGTTAGTATCCAGCACATATTTTGGGAGACACAATACATTCCATAACATTCTACCTTTTGGCCCCTCCCCAGAACTCATATCCATAATCTCTCTTTGGCATGCTAATGTGAATCATTTTGGGGAAAGAATGTCCAAGATTTCAAACTTAAGGTCCACTGTTACTAAACCGTAACTTCTCATGATCTTATAGCACAGCATTGTTGAAAAATCATATATATATATGATTTATATATGTAAGAAATTACTATCCTACGTACAACACGTTGAAGACCCTAGTATTCCTTAAAATGTTATTTATAGGTGTTTGCAGTCAA